GCGAGATGCGGGAGGCGCTGCCGGGAGGCTGCAGGTGCTCCGTGCTGCGTTCCGGGCTCGGGTTTTTTCCCCCCTCCGTTTTAAAGAGCGCTCCTCGCTAGGCTGCAAAACGCTTAGAGGGGGTTCGGCCGGCACGGAGGGATTTGCGTTCCTCGAGGCCGCCCATGGGAAGTACGCGGCGATGAGGAGGAGGAGGAGGAAGGTTGAAGGAAGCTGCCTTGGCCGGGGCAGGTGCTGGTGTGGCTCCGGAGCTCCGAGCTGCCGCTCCGGATCCGTGCGTTGCTGTCCGTGTGCCGGCAGGCGGCATGGGATCGTCCCCGGAGCGCGTGAGATGGGTCGGTGACTTTGTGTTGGTTTTGTATGGGGGTCATCTCTCCTTTTGGGGGTTGGGGGGCCGCGTTCCCAAGCACGCTGTGGGTTTCTGCTCAGCAGAGGGGTGGTTGGAAGTTTGGGGTTTTAGGGTTTGGGGGTTTCTTTTGTTTTTTTTTTGAGCCTCTCGGGTTGGTGCTTGACCCCGGAGCCGTGTCACACCTCGGGTGACAGCTGTGCCGCGTCACTGGAGAGGCCACAACCCCCACACCGGCGCTTTGCTGCGCTCCATGCCCAGCTCTTGCCGAATTTCTCCTCCCCCCCCCAGCTAATGCAGGCTACGGCCTGCCCCCACCTTGCCTTTTCCCAAGAAGAGGGAATGGCGTGGAGGCCAGCGAGAGCCTCCCTCGGCTGTCATCTCCACCCGTGTGGTGGCTTTGTGCCCCAGAGGGGGGGCCCTCCATCCCACACCTCCTTCCTGCTCCCCACCTCTCACAGTCCTCACAGTCAGTCTTGGCTGCTGGCATGTGCTGAGACAGGGCTGCAGCATGGGGCAGTGGGGTTTGGGGCTGCGGAGGGGTTTCTGGCAGCCCCGTGTGGCTCTGACAGCTCCCCTCCCACACAATAAGTGCCCTTTGTGCCGCTGGACACGCTGCCCTTTCTTAGGAAATGGCCCATTGTGCTGCCTGGAGGCTCCATCCGTCTGCGGGTTCCTCCCCAAGCAGGCAAACCCAACGCACCCAAAGGGGCACCTCATTCCTGCTCCCTCCTTGTGCCCACATCCCTTTCCCTGCGATGCTCGTGGCGTCCAGAGCCGCTGTCCCCAGCTGCCCCAGCACCACACCGTCACCCGGTGCACAGCGCAGAGCTGGGGCTGCACCAAACGGAGCTGAGCCCGGTGCCTTACAGCAGTGCAGGAGATGCTTTCTGCAGGCCCCACAGCGCAGCACATCGTGGGGTGTCTGCCAGGAGCAGCCCGGCTCGCCGGCTTCCCGTGACGTCGCTCGGGATTGGGAAATGAAAGGGGCACTGTGCCTCTGCGGAATACCATTACCATTATTTATTGCTGGAATTTGTGTCTCACAGGGGAATTAATTGCTGGCTCTGTTCGTTTGGGTCTCGTTTCGCCAGCCACGCTCTGGGGGGAATGGCCTAGAAATTAAATGTCGTTTGAATATGCAAACTGGGTTCTGAGTTGGTCGATCAAAGTAGGGGAAAAAATGAAGTTCAGGCAGAGCTCTTCCTGGAGCTGAGCTGGAGCGTCAGAAGCATCAGCTGGCCTGAGGTCTGCGTGGGAGCAGAGGGAATGTGCACATGCACATCTGTGTGTGCACAGCGGGAGCTCAGCATCCTGCAGCCCCATGGAGTGAGCTTGGAGGTGGGTCAGGCACCGGCGTGGGCTGCCCTGGGTGGGGACCCATAGGAGCTGATGCCTGGGTGCTGCCATCCGATGGGGTTTTGGGGTGGGAGACGTCGTGATGATGGTGTCCCTCCTCGGGGTGACACCAGGACACTTGAAATCACAGAGCTATGGCAAAGCAAGCACTGGGTGCTATGCTTTTTTAGGGTGGATGCACGGGCCCAGGCCTTTACCTCTGCTTAGCACGTTCCCCCGACTGCTCCCAGCTGTGCGTTGCATCACGGTACAGCTGCAGCATGCTGGGACCTGGCCATGGCTCTGGGTGCCTGCTTGCCTGGTTTTCATTCCCCTTCCCAGGAACGAGCTCTGCTTTGTGCTTGGAGCTTTTCCCTGGCTGCAGGGAAGGGCTGGGGGAAGCAAGGAGAGGTCTGTATGCCAAGCAGCCGTGGCTGCTGCTCTTTTCCTCCGTGGTGATGCCCCCGGGGTCGCTGATAGCCCCGGAGCTCCTGCTTCCCCCTGGGAAAGCTGTTTCTTGATAAGGAGAGGCTCATTTGTGCTCTTGTTCCATCCTTTTCCACTTCTCCTGGAGAAAGCCTCCCACAGAGGCTGCACGGAGGCAATGAGACCCCAGGCGTTTGCACGGGCAGTGCCAAATGCAGAGGATGTTGCAGCCCCTGGTAGCCCAGGGATGACTGGGTGGGATTACTGCCTGCCAGCTGCAGTGAGGGTAAAAGAGCTGTCCTGCTCTGGGACTTGGTTGTGCTTTAGAAGAAGGGAGCCCTGCTGGTTGTGACCATAGGAGCTCATGCTGGGTGCTTCTGGCCCCGTACCTCTGTGTGGCAGCGTGTTGGAAGGGGTTGGGGGGTGATGGAGGTGGGATGCAGCCTGAGGCAGGCTTGATGTGCTGGTGGAAGAGTTTTGAGCCTTCCAGCAAAACCCCCATGCATCCCAGGAGCGTCTGTGGTCCTGGATTTACCACCAACCCCCCAGATGATGGGCAGTGGCTGAGCAACGTCCTCCCCATGGCAGCCCCTGAGCCTGCAGTGGGGCAGCTCCCATATGGGGCTATGGGCTGAGCCCTGCTGCTGTTCCACCGGCCTGGGTGCCTCTTCCTGAGCTGTGCTCAAAATATTTCCTACCTGCATTGTTCCCGTGCGGGGGATTAGTGCTGATTGCTCCCCATTGTCTGCAGTTCCTGCAGGAAGCCCTGTTTATCTTACCCTCTTGGCCAGGAATGCAGCCCCACGCAGGCAGCACGGATATAACTAAACTTAGAGCTGTACAATGGCCTTTGGATTTCCCAACTCTGTGGCATCTGTCACATCCTGGCTGGTTGTGGTTTTGGGGCTTGGGATGGGGCTGGGATTGTACGGTCACCAATTAGCAGGGCACAAGGGCACTGCATGGGGGGGGTCTGAGCAGCCCTTCTCCTGCTTGTGGTGGCTTTGTGAGCGTGTGCCCGGCACTGAGTAGGGGGAAAGCAGTGCTCAGAGCTGGGCACGTGTTGGGGGTCATTTTGGGATGCACAGCTGTGAGCTGATGGGCTCAGTGGGGATGGTGGTGCACAGGGTGGGCAGGAGGAGCCCCTTGCTGGGGCCTGGGCTGTCCCCTGTCCCTTCATCTAGTTGGAGAGCTGCTGGCTCCTGTTGGAAATAATAAAGCACAGCAAATCGAGCAGTGAGAAACTTGGAGGAGGAGCTCCAAGGGGGTCTGAGGCTGCATGGTATCCCAGTACAGCATGGGGAAACACATGCAAGCTGGCCAATGCTCTTTAAGAGCAATCTGTCTTAAGGATGTCCCGCAATGAAGGCTCCTTCAGCGCGTGCAGGGTCTGAGGATCCTGGGCAGCCTGGCTGGCTCCATGCTGTGCTGTTTTAGCTTGTAGCAGCTGGATGCAAACATCATCTGTGCTGGAAGATGCACAGGAACCCCAAGCTTTGCATCTGGTTCAGTAAGGGAGCTGAGCTTCCGTGGGGTGGCTGCACAGCCGTGTGTCTCTGCACCCCACACATCTCTATGCAGCATCCATCCCTGGGATGAGAGCTTGCAGCCGTGCCCTCCCCTTGTCCTTGCAGAACCGGAGCCCTCTGGCTGCTTGCGAGGCTGCAGCGCAGCTCCAGCTGCATTGCTGCTCACCAGGGGCTGTGTGCTGTGCCCCTGTGCCAGCTCTGTGTGCTGGGGTGCTCCTGCTGGGGTCTGGACAGGTGGATTTCTTGCTGGTAGGGTCCGGTGTTTCCACCAAGCTGAGCTTTAATTAAAGTGCTGAGAAAGCCAGAGGGATTTGGCTCCCAGAGCGGCTGGGTGCGCTGGGCTGTGAAGGGGAATGGAAGAGAGTGGAGATGGGAGGAGGGCAAACGGCTCTGGGATGGGCAGTGGGGGGACATGCACAGCTCCATCTGTGCTGTGGTTGCTGGGCCTGGGTGCTTGCGGGGTCTGCACAGATCCCAAATAGCACATGATGGGGCTGGAACCTGGTGCTGGGTCTGCACAGATCCCAAACACCACATTATGGGGCCAGCACTTGGTGCTGGATCTGTGCTGATCCCAAATACTGCATTATGGGGCCGGCACCTGGTGCTGACTCAGAGCTGCTTGCTGAATGGAGATGTGTTATGGGGCTGCAAAGTGTGAGAAAAGGGGAAAATCCCAAAGAAGGCACCTGTGGAAGAATGGGAGCCGTGCACAGTGGAGCTGGGCTCCTCCAACACCACCGTGTTGGTCACCGGGTGTCGTGTGGGTCGGTGTAATGGGAAACTCCCCTTGCTGGGATGGGGGAATGAAGCGCAGCACCCACCTGAGAGGTGATGGTGCAGGGCCTGGCGTTGCTGGGAGCAGCGTTTGGGAGGGGGGGGGGGGGGATGTGCCACCAAAAATTAGGGCTCGTGGATGAGGCTGAGTGCCGTGGGGCTGAGGGCGGCCATGGGGCCGGCTGGGGGTGTTGCTTTTCCTTATGATTTTCTTTCCAGCTCCTTTTCCCATAGGCAACGAAAAGCGCAAAGACGACGGCTGCCCGCGTTTCCTATCCTGCTGTCACGGAGCCAATTAAGGAAAGGGTTGCCATATTTTTATAACTCTTTTTTTTTTTTTTTAAGACATAAGGGTGGAACAACGCGGTGTATTTTGTAAGGCTCGTTCTTGGAAGCGGCGGAGCCCTTCTGGCTGCAGTTATTTCCTTGGGGGGAGAAAAGAAAGAAGAAAAGGAACGAGGGGCGGGGGGGAATAAAAGGGAAACTCGTGGTTGATGGGCCTGGAGGGGCTGAGCTCCCCACCTGTGAGCTCTGGAGAGCTGCCCTGGAGAGGAGTGGAGGGGTTTTGCAGTGTGGAGCACAGAGCTGGCCTCCAGGGTGTGCAGAGCTCCCTGGTGTGGGGAATGGGGGGATCTGGCAGAGGTGATGGGGTGCTTTAGTGATCCTCAGTGCAGTTCCCTGCTGCATCCCATGGGGCTGGTGATGCTCTGGGCTGGGCTGCGAGCTGGGGATGCTGCTGGTGAGCCAGGCTGGGTGCTGACATGGGACATGTTGGGGTTCTGCTGTGCTTCTCCTGTCCCTGAGCTGCTGGTTTCCTTGTCTGCCTGCTGGGAAGCGGAGGGGAGGATGCACAGAGCAGCACATGGGGATATGTGACAGCGTGCTGAGCAGCCACCACGCATGGGGAGGATGCTGCCCGTCTGCTTTTCTCTCCAGCTTCGTTTCAGGGCTGCTTTCAGGCAGTCACATCCCAGCCCAGCTGCTCGTTGCTCTCCCCTATGGCCCGGCTGACCCTTGGACACAATGCTGCGCTGTTTGTAAACCCCCGTTCCCTCCTCAAGTTGTTTTTATGTTTAGGGAGTTAATGACTATCAACAAAGCAGGTTTTAATCTGATCGGTTTTTTTTCCTCGTCCCGAACATCAAAGAGAACATCAAAGTGTGCAGCATGAAAGGCTCCGGAGCGCCTGATGCACGCAGGTGCAGCGCCCACTCTGCACGGCAGCACGGTCTGCAGGGCTCCCTGCTGTCTAAAGGACGAAGTCCTGGAGGAAAACAAAAGTTAATGTGTGAATGGCCAACAGGGTGAAGCAAAGAGGAGCTTTGCATCCTCCCAGCGGAGGGAGGGGGCTGCGCTCTGCCCTGAGCATCGCAGCAAAGCAGGGAGCGAGCTCCGTCTCCCAGGAGGTTTGTGGCACCGTGGAGCCTGCAGTAAGGTTGCTGCAGCGTTTACGATGCACGGTCAGAACGTTGCTTAATTAATCAGAACGTTGCTTGAGCCCCCTGAGCCGGAGCAGGGAGGAGCTGGAGCTGCGTGGGGCAGCGAGGAGGGGCAGAGTGCTGATGGTGTTTGCTGCTGGGAAGCGCTTGGAGGGCAGGCGGAGCTGTGAGTTGACAGGAGGGGTTGCAGGCAGGTGGGAGGTGCTGCTTGCTCCTGGTGAGCCGGCGTGGGGTTGCAGATCGCATCTGGGACCTGTGAGCTCCTGGGTGATGTCTGCCTTCTTTGCTGGGCTAGAAGTGAGTAAAGAGAAGGCAAGCAGTGGGTGCAGAGGGGACACAACGTGCAGCTTCTCCTGGGTAGTTTCTTCCTGAACTTGTGGACTGAATTGGAAAGCGAAAGCTGGAAGCTTTTGAGGGCTCCTGGAGGGGTGGGTTTGGGGCTCCAGGTGCAGCTTTGGGTACCAGCACTGACATCCCATGGGCAGATTCTCTCACAGGCGTCCCCCACACCACAAATTTCAGCAAGGGCCCCCCCCCCCCCCCCATCCTGCCCTTTCTGTGCATCCTTGGCTGCAGTTTGCATTTTCCACCGTGGAGCATCCCCAGCAGCCGCAGTGCGGGGCTCCCCCAGCCTCTTCCCACCTAATTAAACGCTGCCTCTCATTTGCAGGAGATGTTTCCGGGCTGGTGCCGAGGCTGTGCACTCACATGCTAATTCTGAGCAGCGTGTTCCTGCACCGCAGGGAAGCAGCAGGGCTGGCTAATTGATAGCAGTTTCGCCAGCGGCACGGGCTGCTCGCCTGTAATACAGAGCAGACCCGGAGGAAGCCCACCGCCGTGCCCCTCCTCGTTAATTAGTCCTTGCTACCGCACACAGCCGTGCCGAAGCTGGAGGAAAGCATGCGGTTTCTCTTGTTAGCACCCGGCAGGCTGTTATTCTCTTCCACGTGCAAGCTTGCATTTTGGGGACACTCAGGCAGTGGCTTGAAAGGAGCTCACTGCAAGCCTGGAGCTGGTTTTCCCCCCAGCTGGAGCTGATTTGGGCATCATTGGCTTGAGGACAGCTGAGGGCTGGGAGCGTGCAGCCTGTAATTTGGCTGCTCTTCCTTCCCTGCTCCTAAAAGTGGGCAGCTGGGAGGGAGCTGGAAGCGTTGGACCTCGGGAACGGCTCTGCTCAGTTCCTGGGATGCAATGCACCTCTTTCCCTTCGAGACGAGGAGGGGCTGTGCAGCCACCAAGGAGGGTACTCAGGGCCTGGCTTTGCCCTTGCAAATGTGGGAAAGCAGCACATGGCCCTGGTTGCTCTCTTTTGGCAGCATGGAATCGCGTGGTTTCTCCCATTTTTGTTTTTGGCTGCACTGCCTGAATTGTCCTTCCTGGCTGGGGTGGAAGGTGATGGAGAGGCTCCTCCTCGTGCTCCCAGCACATCTCCCATCCTGCAGGATTTCCTCACGCTGGTACCAGTTGGGAGTTGGACTGGGCAGCATTGGGGTGCAAAGGATCACAGAATCACTCAGGTTGGAAGAGCCTTCTCAGACCCCCAACCCCAGCCCACCCCACCGTGCCCATCCCCACGTTCCTCAGTGTCACATCCCCGTGGCTCTGGGACATCTCTGTGTAACCCACCACTCCCTGAGCAGCTGTGCTGTGCATCACTGCTCTTTGGGGTTTTTCCTCATCCCCAACCTGACCATCTCCTGGTGCAACTTAAGGCCATCACCCCTCATCCTATCGTAGCTATCTGGGAACAACGATGAGACCGACACCTCTGGGTGACCCCAATGCTCCCTGGGCAGCTGTGCTGTGCATCACTGCTCTTTCAGGGTGGAATTGTTTCCTAGATAGCCACAAAGCTGTGCAGATTCAGGTGTTGTTGACCTCCCGGTGGGAAGGAGCTGCCCAGCTTTGTTTCTCACACCCAACCTCTGCTCTCCCCCCCCCCCGGCAGGTCACAGACCAGCTCCCCGGGGTTTTGACGCTGGATTGGGATCGTTTTAACTAAAGATGGAAACACTGGAGTCCGAATTGACCTGCCCAATCTGTCTGGAGTTATTCGAAGATCCTCTGCTTCTGCCCTGCGCCCACAGCCTGTGCTTCAGCTGCGCCCACCGCATCCTGCTGTCCGGCTGCTCCTCCGGCGAGAGCATCGAGCCCCTCAGCGCCTTCCAGTGCCCCACCTGCCGCTATGTCATCTCCCTCAACCACCGCGGCCTGGAGGGCCTCAAGAGGAATGTGACGCTGCAAAACATCATCGACCGCTTCCAGAAGGCGTCGCTCAGCGGCCCCAACTCCCCCAGCGAGAGCCGCCGCGATCGGCCCTACCGCCCCAACCCCACCATGTCGGTGAGCGGCGAGAGGATCGCCTGCCAGTTCTGCGAGCAGGACCCGCCGAGGGATGCTGTCAAGACGTGCATCACCTGCGAGGTGTCCTACTGTGACCGCTGCCTGCGGGCCACGCACCCCAACAAGAAGCCCTTCACCAGCCACCGGTTGGTGGAACCCGTGCCCGACGCGCACTTCCGAGGTCTCACCTGCCTGGAGCACGAGAACGAGAAGGTGAACATGTACTGCGTGGCTGACGACCAGCTCATCTGTGCCTTATGTAAACTGGTGGGGCGGCACCGGGATCACCAAGTGGCGTCGCTCAGCGATCGCTTCGAGAAGCTCAAGGTAAGGGTAGCTGGTGGCTGGGGTTGCGTTGGGGACCCGCGTGGCGTCTCTGAGGTGGGGGTTGGAGCTTTTGGGCTCCTCCAGGTTCTGTGTTTCCGGGGCTGCTTTGCTGGTGAGAAGCTCTGCTGCTCATCGGCTTCCTTGGATGTGGATGGAGAGAGTGGGGAGCGTGCCCGTGCTCAGCAAATGGCTTGGAAATAGGGGTGCTCTGTTGGCATCGCTGGCCTGAAAAAGGATGTGGCTTAGCAGCGGGTTCCCCACGGCAAAACTTCGTGCTTAGATGAGAGATGGGATGGAGCTGAAGGGATCCTCACTGCAAGAAAGACACTGAGGCACTGGAGTGTGCACAGAGAAGGGCAAGGAGCTGCGAGACTCTGGAGCACCAGCCCTATGGGGAGTGGCAGAGGGAGCTGGGATCATTCAGTTTGAAGAAGAGGAGGCTTGGGAGCTCATGGTGCTCTCCATCTCCCCAGAAGGAGGTTGTGGTGATGTGTGTTCAGTCTCACAGTTGTTGTTCCCAGATAGCTATGATAGAATGAGAGGGGATGGCATTAAGCTGCACCAGGAGATGGTCAGGTTGGGTGTTAGGAAACACTCCAAAGAGCAGTGATGCACAGCTGCCCAGGGAGTGGTGGGGTCACCGTTCCTGGAGGTGCTCCAGAACCGTGGGGATGTGACACTGAGGGACGTGGGGATGGGCATGGTGGGGTGGGCTGGGACTTGATGGCTTGGACTTGGTGATTTCGAGCTCTTTTCTGACCTGAATGATTTTGTGATTGAGGCAGAAGGAGGCAGAGATGTAGAGCTTCCCCTCTCCTGCCCCAGCAGCCCAAACTGCTCCTCTGTCCTTCAGCCTCCTGCAGGACGTCTGGCAGTGAGCAGTGCCACCTCCAGCGTGGCGTTGTCCCATCCTCACACCCACGAGCTGCAGAAAGGGTGGTTTTGTGGTAGTTTTCCAGCCCTCGTATCGATCCACAGCGAATCCCCGCTTCCCTGCTCACAGAGAGCAAACTTCAGGCAGCCCTCTGGGGTGCTGCAAGCTTCATTTCTATGCAGCGCCTGTGCTGGGGCTGGGTACCATGTGAGCCCATGTGGATGATGTTTGACCTATATAAAGTTAGAAATCCCTCTCTGTGCCCCACACGTTCTCTGTGAGTCTACAAAATGGCCTAAATTCTCTCTCTTTTTTTTTCAATACTGGAAAAAAACAGAGCTGGTTCCATCCGGGGTCACAACGACGGGGCTGCGCCTGCTGTAGTGTTCCAGTTGCAGCCCTTCTCCAGCACTTCTTCCTCAGCCCCTTCTCCCATAATGTTCTGGGCTTGTGCTGCCCCAGAAGTGCTTTTCTTGGCTCATTCCCTCTTTAATCCCTCAGACAACATCGATTTTTCTGCTCTCACGTTTCCTGAGGGCAGAAGAAATGCTTCCATCACTTGCAAAAATGGAGATGACTTCTTCCGCGCGCTCTGGGTTGATTAGAAAAGGGAAGAACAAAGCTTTCTCTCCAGGCATCCGTCTTCCTAGGCAGAGAGTTTCCCACGAGCTGCTTCCCAGGCAGGTTTCCCACCTGCACTTCCCAGAACCTCCCAGCTCTGTGCTGGTGACGCAGCCCCTCCATGTGCCTCACCTCCATGTCCCCCCTCTCAGCGCCAGCGCAGCGTTCCTCGCTTCAGAACATTCTTTTTCCATGAGGAAACGTCTCAATTAGCAAATTGGAAACCTTAGAAAGGAAGGTCCGTGGATGTTTGCGTGCAGTAGGACCCTGGGACAGGAGTTAAAGCCCTTTTAATATTTCCCCATCGCGTTGGCGAGCCAAGCAGGCTCATGTGAAGGCAAAAGGCCTGACGAGCTAAGCTGCTGCTCCAACCAAATCTGTGCACGTTGCCAGAACACCCCCCCCTCCATGTTTAAATAACAGTCTTAAGTGATTTTGGATGAGAAGGGAAGCTCTCCTCTGCTATAAACATTCCCCTGTGCTGCTCATCCAGCATGGGTGGATTCCTTGCTCCCTGGCAGAGAAGCAGCTCTGCTGGCATGGTGCTCCGGCAGCCTCCTGTTCCCCCTTTCCCTCTCGCAGGTGGGAATTGCCCAGGTGAGGAGTGTTTGGGGATGGATGTGGGATGTGAGCATCCAGCCAGGGCTGCAGGATGGCTCCGGGGTAACCCTGGTCCAGCAGAAAGTTTCCTTCCCTAAGGCAGGCTGGTGGGTCGCTGCTTTACCCCTTGCAGTGCGAGGAGGGAATGGGAGAACTGCATTTTGAAATGCAAAGCTGCATCTCTGCCTGCTCAGCCGAGCTGAGAGGGCTGAGGGTTTTGCTGCCTGCGTGAATGCCAAATGAACTGCAGTGCAAGCTCCGTCCACGCTGGCAGAAACACCTCATCCGAGTTGCACTCTGCTGGGGCCGCAGATAAATCTCTGAGTGTAATGGACTGCAAAGCATGGCAAATCAAACTGTGCTGACCGGCGCTTCTGCGTGGCTTTAAGCACGCTGACGCTCCATGGTTGGTTTTGAAACTAAGCGATGCGTGGTGGAAACTTCTTCCTTTTGTTGCTCTTTGCTCTGTAGTTGCTGCAGGGCTCTGGTTGACGCGGCGTGGCTGCAGTGTTGTTAGCAGTGCGCAGCCCCTGGCTGGGCAGCAGCTGTGCTTTTCTTGTGCTCTTCTTTGGGTGCCTCGTCCAACGCCACAGGATAGATTCTGAGCCAAGCTTTGACACCACAGTCAATCTTTGCAGCTGCCTTTAGTCCTCGTCTGTTCACAGCCTCAGTCTATAGCCCTGACCGTGCTTGGGCCCGTTGCTTTTTATGGAGATGCTTGTGGTCCTCTGCCCACCTGATGCTCTGCAGCCTCACAGGAGCTGCCCTGCAGCCCGGCTGCCCACAGTTCTCATCGTGCTGCTCCAGCTAGCAATGCCTTCCAGATTTATTATCATTATTATTATTGCATGTGTGTGATGGAAACTTGGAGCAAGTGACTGCAATTTGTCCAAAGCACCGTGCATTCTGCACACCTCTTTGGTGGGGGTTCTTTGTTGGATCCCAAAACACTGCAGTTCTGCATGCTGAAGCCAGGACCTGGGCATCTCCAAAATGCCCACGTGCCATTGAAAGGCATTTTAGGACCCACCTCTATTCCATTTAAGGTGTGTTCTGTTTCTATTATTCCGTGCATCCCCAACTCTGCATGTTTACACCACGCTGCTTGCCCAGGGCGCATTGCTTTCGGGTGCTGTTCCTGCTCCACCAGTTTGTGGAAGGCATCTCTCTGCCCTGCCTCCTCCTGCAGCTCTCCCTGCTCTGCTCCCAGCAGACGGGCAGCACTGCACACATGGGATGCTGTGAGTGGCCCAAACCTGCAGGCTCACTGCTGACATTCCCTATGGTGTGAGGGGTGGGAGCAGCCCACCTGCTCACCTCACCAGCTGTAAAATCAGCACTAGAAATGAAATTAAAAGCAGGGTTGGGGAGGTGACAGCATGCAGGATTTGCTGTGTGAGCTCTGGAGGCTCTGCAACAGGAGTTTGCAGGAAAAGGGGTTTTGTGCCACTGTTTTGCTTCCCCTTCTGCCCCACTCCTTTTGCAGGAGCTGGTTTGGGGGCAGCTGTCATTGCTGCTGCTGAGATTTCTATCTATCGACGTGCTGGAAATAGCCCCAAAAATTCAAATAAAGTAACGCTTTCATTCCTGCTCTTTGCTCCAAGAGGAGCAGTGAGCCATCTCCCACCACGCTTTGTGCTTCCAGTGCGTTTTGAGCTTGACTGAAGCTGGAGAAATGTACTGCATGAGTCCCTGTGCTGCACAGCTGGGGTGTGGGGCAGTGATGGGCAGCACAGGGCCCTTCAGAGGGCGGTGGGATGGGAGGAATGAGGGCAAGGAGCCTCTGCTTGGTGCTGAGCGTGGGGCTTCTGTGCCTGGGGCCTGAGGGACGTGCTCTCGCTTGCACGGTGTGACTCACTGAGATTGCTGCTTCATTATGATTTACCGTGCTGCCATGGGGCTAAACTGCATTTTGTGTGCGTGTGGTTTAGTTTTTTAATTTTCCTTTTCCCACATTCAGGAGCTGAGAGCAGGGTCCTTGCTAGCACTGCTGTGAGTCCTGGCAGAGCGCAGGGAGGCGTCACTGGCACAGATGCCAGGTTTGGTGCACTGCATGCAGCACTGGGCTGCTCACATAGAGCCAGCTTTGCTTGGGATGCTTTCCTCCAGGTCCAAGCTGGAGATGCAAAGCCTTTCAATTGGCTTTTTTTGGCATGTGAGATGCCAGAATGATTTTTTGGTGTGATGAAGATGCGGGTTTAGGGTCTCTCTTGAGCCAAATGGTCATTTCCCATTGCATCCAGCTGGGGCACCTGCATCCATGGCAGTGTGGTGTTGCTTGGATTTGCCAAAAAAACCCATGTGATGCGTGCTGCAGGCACGTGCTTAGCTGTGGAGCACGGGTTGCATGAAGATGCAAAGCTTTCCTGGCTTCTTTGCCCTGCAATGGGAAAAGGGATCAGTGCATGCCCTCGTGTCTGGTGTAGCTCCTAGTCTGTAGCAGTGGTCACTCTTCCTCTGATCCTCTGTGGGTCAGAAGGACGTGGAATCAGCACTGCGTGCTGGATGCCTTGATTTCCCTCCCAGAGATCCCATTTATGGGCAGGGGGTTGGATTTTTTTAATGAGTTATTGCGAATGAAATGAGTGAAAGAGTGGACAGGCAGTGGAATGGGAGGTGGTGGAGTCACTGACCCTGGAGGCATTCAAGGAACATTTGGATTTGCATTGAGGGTTTGTGGTTTAGTGAGAACTATTGGTGCTGGGTGGATGGTTGGAATGGATGATCTCGTAGGTCTTTTCCAACCTTGGTGTTTCTGTGATTAATGCTCCTTCCCTGGAAGCACTCAAAGCCAGGCTGGATGGATGGGGCAATGGCAATTAGTTGTGTGGGAGCAGGATGAGAGGTGATGGCCGTGAGTTGCACCGTGGGAGGGTTGGGTTGGATGTTAGGAAATGTTTCTTTT